TCCCTTTGCCGTCTCCCTCTGCACCCCAGGGCAGAGGTCTCTCCTCACCTGGCTGACCCAGTACCGCCGGAAGCTAGAGCTTCTCCTTTCTTCTATCCCCCTTCTCTGCTTCTCCACTTAAGTCTAAGAGACGGGAGGGAGGAGCTGGGGGCTGGAGGGGGCGGGGACTGAGATCCACGTAGGAGCTCCCCGAGGACGGACATGGTCTGAAACGTGCCACCTTTAGGACAGGGACCCATGCAGGTGCTGTCCCAGGGAGATGCCACCGTGCTCTTACAGGTGTTCCGTGATTGGCAGAGAGGACTCTGAATCATCAAAATATGCTCAGAATGTCATCTACAGACAAAACCCCACCCCCACCCACATCTGACCACGGCAGGCGAGAGCGGGGACACACAGAATCCCCTGAATCACACCACGGGCATCTCAGCAGAAGCCCGAGCAGGGGAAGTTTTACACGTTCCATTCAACAGTCGAGCCCCCTTAGATGTGCTAAGTTCCCAGGATCTCAAACGGACAAAACGGAGCCTTCTCCCTCGAGGGAGAAGCGGGGGGCAGCCAACCTGCGGTCCACAGGCCGCGTGCGGCCCAGGATGGCTGTGAATGCGGCCCGGCACAACACGTAACATTCCTTAAACCATTACAAGACTTTTTTGCGATTATGTGTCACCATGTACTTAACGTCTGGCCCAAGACAAGTCTTCCTCCTCTGGTGTGGCGCAGAGACGCCGAAAGGCGGGACGCCCTGCAGTCTGGAGGAGCTCGCTCACCAGCGGGGGTGTCTGATAACGGCACCCCTCCTTCTCCGATGACTCCCAAGTACCGCCGCTCTGGGCTACGCCCGACCCGAGAGTGACTGACTCTGAACGGGGGAGTCCCAGGGGGCTTCGGAGAAGCCGGAACATGTTGAGCTTGAGGGACACAACTTACAGGAAGATACCCGGCCAAGGGCAAGGAGTTCCGGTGCAGAAACAGGGACGCGGAGCTGAGAAGGAGGGGGTAGGCGCAAATCTAGGGTGTTCTCCGGGAACCCGACGGCTTTCTGCCCGAGGAGACCTGACCTGGCCCCCGCCAGCCAGCTTGGACCGACAGGCCAATGGAGCACGTGACCAGAACACGTGACCAGAACACACGCCCTGGAGGAGCTGAACCTTCTTCAGACCCGGTGGGCCCTGCCTGCCGCCCCGCAGGAGAGCACGGGCCCTGGGTCGGCCTGGGAGGCCCGTCCTGCCTCTGCTACTTCCCAGCTGTAGCACCCTCTGCAGCTTACCTACCCTTCCTGCACTCGGTGTCCTCATCTGTAAAATGGAAAGAATACCAGTGCCCACCTCGCAGGGTGCTTGTGAAAATCGGCTGAGACACCCAAGTGAAGGGCACAGTGCCGGGCACAGAGGAGGCCCCGGCGTCATTCCCAGTGACCTCACCAGTCTCGCTTCCTCTGTCACGTAGGGAACTGGAGGACGAACGCGGCAGAAGAGCCCTAACGTGAGGTTGGCCCACGGGAGGTTCCCCGTGACTGAATGATGGTGGCTTCTGCTTCCCAAGAAGCCAGGCTCACCACCTGGCAGGGGGAGGAGCTCCCGGTCACGGCTGGAAGAACCAGTCTGGCTGAAAGCCCTGGGTGAGTCAGGCCTCAAGAGACCATGGAAATGCCTAGGCGACCCACGAGCACGTGCAGGTCAAGGCCACCGCCCACAGCAGCATGTAGGTGGCCCAGGGGAGGGAGGTGGGCGGGGCACGTAGCCATCCAAGGGGCAGCTGCGCTCAGCTCCAGCCTGGTCTCGCCCTGGGAGAATGGAGGGACAGCTCTTCCCCACTTTCCCAAGAAGACAGAAAGCCAAATTGTTAACTGTTCCCAGTTTGGAAACATTAGCTGCCCTTTAACTCAGAAGCGCTGGCAACCACAAGCAGACTGCACAGGCGCCGCCCCAGGTGCCTGCAGGCCGGCGCTTCACGGCTGCTGAGGGAAAAGCACCCGTGTCTTGCCGTGTCTAATGCGCGCGGTCTTGCCCAGATTTTTAAGGAAAAGGTAAGGATGCACATTCTACACGGGTGGTGCTAATTCTGTGCCTATGTAAATGTTTTTAATTCTTCTGTTTATGCTTACACGTTAAAAGTGTCACTCTAGAAAGCAATAACAATATGTGTATGCAAAATAATACCCTGAAATACGGTAATCAGTTTTCTTTCTAAATATAAATAAATAATTGAGCCCTGGCTGGCGTAGCTCAGCGGATTGAGCGCGGGCTTGGAACCAGTGTCGCAGGTTCGATTCCCAGCCAGGGCACATGCCTGGGTTGCAGGCCACGGCCCCCAGCAACCGCACACTGATGTTTCTCTCTCTCTCTCTCTCTCTTTCTCCCTCCCTTCCCTCTCTAAAAATAAATATAAATAAATAAACCTTTAAAAAAATAATAAATAAATAAGTAAAATGAAAAAATAATTAAATGAATTAAATGAACTTAATAAAATAAATTAAATAAATTGAATGAAAAAATTAAAATTAAAGATTTTTTCCCTGAAAATTTAGGCCAAAAACATGGGTGTGTGTTACACATGGGAGCACATTAATACACGCGAAATGTGGTACTTTAGACACTAACATGCATCAGATCTTTGTGGGCAATCCCCCTTTAAAAATTCTCAAGGGCCTGCTGAAAAAAGGAAAACCAAAGTTATTCCGACACAGAGCTCAGCCAAGAGCCTCTGGAACTCCTCAGAGAGCTGGCCTATCTGTGGGCATTTCTGTGAACGGGAGGGGCAATTTTCTGTTATTTTAAGTCACTTCTAGTGGCCCCGCTGCCAGACACTTACCTTTTAAGCTAACCTTTACATCACGTTCGCTATGTGCCAGGTACTGTCCTATGCATTCAACATACACCGTCTCGTGTAATCTTTACGACAACCCAATGAGAGCCTGAGATGGGGAAACGGAGGTGCAGAGACGTTGAGAGCTTGTTCGAGGTCCCACAGCCAGTACCCGGCGGAGGTGGGAGTGGGGCCAGGCGGGCGACTCGGCACCGGGGCTCATAACCGTCAGTGCACGCGGCCTGTCACCTGGCCCGCCCAGGCCCTTGCAGCCGGGGTCTTGGGGGCTGCAGGCCACTGCCTCTGGGCAAAAGTGACCCTTCCCTCTCCCTGTGCGCGTGTGATTCCACATGTGTCTACAGAGGTTAGAAACCAGCCAGGGCCGGGTCTCCCATGAGCCAGCCAGTGTGCCCCAAGAGCCAGGTGCCTCAGCCCCATGGCTGGGGACCCGCTGCGAACCATGTATCACCCAGGGACAGACTCAGGGCCCAAGTCTCCTGTGTCCCCTGCCCCCTCTGCACGGCAGCCGTAAGAGGAGGCTGGCAGTGCCATCTGTAAACAGGCTGTCTCAGGGCCAATACTAAGACCTGAGCTCTCCATGCTGAACGGTCCTAGAGCCGTCCCCCAGCCCTCACTAGCAAACTGACTCCTGGCTATGATCTACCAGGTCCCACGTCAATCAGGTGACTGGAAACTTCCAGAGGAGGCTCTGCTGTCTTTGCAGGATATCATTCCTGGCCCGAAATCTCTCTCTCTCTCTCTCTCTCTCTCTCTCTCTCTCTCTCACACACACACACACACACACACAGAGTTTCCATGAGCCCAAGGCGCAGGAGGCAGCCCGCTGAGCGTCAGCAGGGGAAGAGGGCAGCCGTGTGGCACAGGCCCCAGCACACCGCACGGCTCGGACAGAGGCAGACACGGGCCAGGCGCTCTCAGGGCCCCCGGAGACAGCCCGAAAGGAACTGTGCCAGTGAAACTGCCGGCACGCCCTGTCAAGAGTGACGGCATCCTTTCACAGTCCACGGGAACGTGACAAGATTTATGAGACGAACCTGGCAGCATTCGGGGTTCCCCAGGCAACTGGGGGATATGCCGCAGCCACCACAAAGCTCTTCAGTGTGCCTCGAGCTGCGTCTTTGTTCACCGCTGCATGGGACGCCAAGTGAGACAGCCGGCGCCACACAAGTGGCCGGCTCACCGCTGTTCCGGAGGGTCACCCCACCCGAGGCCCCTGGCCTCTGGGCCAGCCGCAGTCAGTCACGACGCCTGGTTTGGACATGAGGTGGCAGGCAGGAAGGAGCTGTTTCCGATGGTCCACTTCTTACAGTGGCCTTTAGAAAAGTCTGAAGTGTCTCTCCTCCTCCAGGAAGCCTTCCGGACCCACTGCCCTGCAGTGACCTCTCCTCAGAAAAGCTGTCACCCATGCCCAGCTTTTACCACTTGTTCCCTTGTTTGGGGCTGACACTCTAAAATATCGTTCAGTAAGCATTTAGTAAGCGCCGGGTACTGTGTTGAGTGCCCTGCAGATGTGATTTGACGTAACCCTCCCAACTCCATGAGGGGGCCGTGATTGCGCCCAGGTCACAGACGAGGCAGAGGCAACCTGAAGAAGTCAAACAACATGTGTGCCCTGCCTCTCTGTCATTTCTCTTTCCGGGGGCTGCACTTTCTCCCACTAGGTCACAAGCCCCTTCGTCACAGCCAGGGTGGCGGTCACCCTTCCTTCCCCGCCCCGAGCCGTGGGCACACGGTTCAGCACTGGTGGCCGACATCCACTCAGCCCTGCATGAACACAGGGGTGGCAGCAATGAACAAAAACGTGGTCAGCCACGTGGCCAAGTGGCCACATAAAAAGAATCCCTGTGAATGTTCTGCCGCATCTTAAACACCAAGAAAAGTCCCTGTTTAGGTTGCACATTAATTATCAGGAAACTTCCCTGAAATGTTTTCCCTTCACTTCCTCCCATGATAAGTAAAGACCTCAGGCTCTGAAGAAACCACGTGTGGCTGGGCTTCAAATGATCCCATGCCAGCAGTGGGGCCCACCCCAGGGACCTTGCTGGGGGCTGCAGGAGTCGATCACCAGCCAAGGGCAAGGGGTCAACCTGCAGCCTCTGCTGGCTCCGAGCAGCACGACCCCCCACCCCCCGCCCCCCCTCCCGGGGGGGGCAGACGGGCGCAGCTCTCACCTTTGGTGGCGTAGGCCTCCGCCATCAGCCGCAGCCGGTACGGAGGGACGGCCGCCAGCGGCAGGTCTTCCAGGCCCACGCGCGCGTAAATGTTGAGCGCTTCCTTATAATCTCCTTCCACGTAGTTCAGCTTGGCCAAGATCAGATTGGACTCTTGCAGCAACTCTGACTAGAAGGAAAAGGAGAGGAAACACGTTTTTCCTACCTCGGGATGGGGGATGGCGCCTACGGGGCCGGCCACCTGCAGCCAAGCCCGGCGCACCACGCGGAACCGGCGCGAGTGCCTGTTCACAGTGAGGTTGCTCATGGCAGCCCCGGAGCGGGAACAACCCAAACCTCCGCCCACTGAAGATGCACGAGCAAAACGCGGTGGAGCCACGCGAGGGAATATTACTCCGCCGTATTGGGGAAGGAAGCTCTGAGACAGCGCTGCAGGGGCGGACCTCGAGAACGCTCCGCCCGGTGAAAAGGCCAGGCACAGAGGGCTGGTGAGCACGGGGTGGCCAGAACGCTCGAATCCAGGGGCAGCATGGGGGCCCCGGGCTGGGCGGGTGGGAGAGGGAGGAGCCTGTTAACAGTTGGGGGTTTTCTTGGGGGATGAAGAAAATGGTCTAAAATCCAGGTGAAGGCTGCACAACTCGGCGAATAGTCTAAAATCCACTGAATTGTACACTTTCATGGGTAGATTATGCAGCGCGTGAATTATATTTCAATAAAGCTGTGGTGAAAGAAAACAAAAAAACCCGAGGCTCCCCTCAGGCGGCTCGGCTGGGGTGAAAATAGAAGGAATGCTGTATGGACAAAACTCCTAAGTGCTTGTCTCAAAAAGGAAGCTTCCACGGGCACCCTAGGGGGTCATGCCCACGGTGCTCGCTGGGAGTGTATCCCAAATTACCCGAGGAGAGGGTCTTTCTCAATGGGTGCGAAAACCAGGGCTTGCTTTCTTTCCAGGGGCGAGCTGTTCTCCCTGGGTCATCCCATCGCGTTAAGGTGACCGGCCCTGGGTCCCCTCCCCAGAGGCCACCAGCTCCAACTGTCCCCTCTGATGGTCAGCTTCCCCGGGCCACACCCAGCAGCCTCAGACTCCTGGCTGCCCCTGCCCCCACTCCTAGCAGGGGCAGGAGAGGCCGCCGGGCTTCTATATAAGGAAACAGATTCATCACCCTCTCCCAGGCCTTCTCCTCGGAACCTAAGCCACACAAGGCCGGATGTTTCAGCTCACAGGCGCATGAGTCCTGTGACCCAGAGCCGCGACAGGGGGGACGGCACACAGGGAGGCAGGCAGGGCGCGGCTGGGCGGCTGTCTCGGCCCCCTCTCCCCTCTTGAAGGCGGCAGGGACCACAGGCAGTGCTGGAGAGGATGGTGGGGAGGGGGGCGGGGCAAGGGGAGGAGAGATGGAAGAGGGTCCGCAGGAAGCGAGAAAGGAAAGACTGGAGAGACCGGAGCCGGAGACGTAGGAGGCTGCGTATAAACAGGGCAGCTGCACGGACTGGTGGCGCACTGGCTTTCCTGTTTGGGGGTGGGTGGGGGGGACACCAGGGTCGTCGCCCAGGCAGGGGAAGTTCCCGTCCCCAACCCCTTCCACACCAGGGCATGGGTCTGCCGTCACCGGTGTGACACCCACACCGCTCTGGGCCACAGCGGCCTGGGACATCTGAGGACCGCGGGTTTCGGCAGGAGATGGTGCAGTGAGTGGCACCCCGTGCCACCCCCTCTTTCCTGTAGTGGGACAGGGTGTCAGGCCGAGCTCTGGGTCACACATGACCTCTGCTTACTCCAAGCACCTGGGGAAGGTTAGTGCCACTTTTCAAAATAAGATGTCGCTGAAGGCTCTCGACAGGGAGACTCGGCTGAGCCGGAAGCCCCCACGAGGTGTTCGGCCGCCAGGGGGTTGGTCCGTGGATCGCACAGGGAGCCGGCCCGAGTCCAGGAAGACGAGCATGGCAGTGGGATGCCCTCTGAACACCACTCAGGCGTCCCTGGGCATCGCCCACAACCACACCGCTCAGACAAGGGGGGCCAGCAACTCCCCAGGAGCCCCCTCACCCCAGGGGCCCACGGTACCTTGAGGTTCCCTCGGTCCAGGGCGGCAGTCAGGTGCTTGCGGACCTCGGTCAGCTGGGGCCTGGGGCCGCGGGGGCTGGCGCCCTGCCGCAGCGGGTGCTCCTTCAGGTACTGCTCCAGCTTCGACTCCCCGAGGAGCAGCTCCGCCATGTCATCTACGAAGGGCAACGTGAGACGGTCAGTGGGAGCGAGGGCTGGTTTCTGCGCTGGGACCCACCCCCTCGCTGCGCGCCCCCAGCCAGGCCCTTCTGGGACGTCACAGCCTCCGGTGGGGGCCAGGGGGCACCGTCTCACACTGCGGTCGTTCATCAGTAAAGAATGTTCCAGAACATTCAAACCCACTCAGACAAGTGGTGGCTCAAGCACTCTCATCCTCTGTCATGTAATCACTGAATCGAGAGAGATGGATACACAATAACCCGAGTTCAGTAGAAAAAACACACAAAGTTGCCTTGTGATTTACTCAGTGTGATCTTCACAAGACACACACAAACCCCAGGACTGTGTCTTTTCCGAGAGTGATGCAGGGGAACCCCTCGCCCTTCTGTGCTCCACGACCTTCAACATGGATGTGAGCCGGTAGAATGTCTTGTACAGTTAGATTCTTAAAACGAGATTGTGTCTAAACCCCCTGGATTCAGGCAGTCTGGCTGTGTCTGAAAGTCAAAGCCGTGCAGACACGGGTGCCGGGGGTGGCGGCGTGGGGCCTTTATTCCTGAGCGCACAGCACTCGCAGCCACGACTCTCGATGTCGGCGCTGGCTTGTTAACAGAGTGAAAGGCTCCCTCCAACAGCAGCTCTTTGGAATCCACACATCCAGGCTGCTCCGGACAAACCCAAACAATTCACACGCCAGCCTGAGCTGTGATGGCACAGAACATAATTGTACTGAATGTAAGGGCAGCTTTAAAAGGTCTGGAGGGGGGCGCCTCAAACCCACGTTAGCAGTTCCCACTGTGATGCAGGAAAAAGAACCTCAGCTGGGGTTAGTGGCCAGTAAGGATCTTCTGGTCCTGGGGGGGAAACAACAACAACAGGTGTGTCTATCATTTGTGCAATCTAAAGTTAACTGAGATTCAGGGCAGGGGGCAGGTCTACCAGAGGCCAAGAGCTGCAACGAGAGCCTTTCCAAGTCCCCTGGTCAGCGACCCAAAACTGCCGAAAGTATATTCAATAGTTCTTAGCGGCGCCTCTGTCTGTGTATTGGGAAGCCAAAAATAATCCTTTAGAGATAAGACCTAGGGTCCTGGGCAATGCTGAACAACACCGAAACCAGGCAGAGTTAAGTTGCTGAACTCAAGAACTCTTTAGCTGTCCAAGAAGAAAAGGCAAATCGCCGAGAACATCAGGCAGGACCCACAGCAGAGTCGGCCACCAGAAGACAAGGAAGCCATGTCCGCAGAGGACACGGGGACACGAAGTACAGCCTGGGTGGACGGGACCCAGCAGGACACCAGTCAGGCTCGAAGGCAATAAGTGGCTTCCTCCCGGAAGAACTGCAATCTAGCTAAGAAAGAAGTCTCGGGCTCAGGGGTGGAGGGCAACAGGCAAAGCCTGCTGGCGAGTTTCAGGGTGTTCCCACACACAGGAACATCAAATGCTTCCAAGCATCACTGCTGCAGACAGAATCTGACTGTTACAAACCAACACAATGTAAAAACAACAACATATCAAAGACTGGGAGGAGCCTCCGAAGGCCATGTCCTCATCTTTCAAAACCCTGTAACACACACGACACCAATACCTTTAAAACTTGATTGGACTCTTCTAAGAAGAGATGTCACGTGGTGAAATGTTTGTTTGGAGCTTGACAATTCCTTCAGGTTCTCTTTTTTCCCATGAATAATTACTAATACCTTTTTTTTTTAATAGAGTGCTATACTGTTCAATTGAAATATTTTCAAGCCGCATGTTATTTTTAAAATTTTAGTAGTTATATTAAAAATAAACAGTTGAAATTAATTTTAATAATATAGTTCATGTAACTGAATATATTCAAAATATCAGTTTTAACAACTAATCAATATTTCTAAATTACTGCAATATTTGCATTCTTTTCTCATGTTGAGTTTTCCAAACCCAGTGTGGACTGCACACCCACAGCCCAGCTCGATTCGAACCTGCTGCACTGCAGGTGGTCGAGAGCTGTTGTGTCGGATGGGAACAAGACCACTGCAGATGGAGGTATGGTGGCTCGCCTTTCTATCTGCCCCTGTCCCTAGAAAGACACCGAGAATGGTTACATTGGAGTAAAAGACAGAAACTTCTGAATGATAGGACTCAGAATATTTTTAAAGTCCTCATCTTTCTAGTTAGAATTATTTTTATTGAAGGGAACCATTCTATATTACTGTCAGAAAAAAAACTTTAAGTCTTCTTTGAAAACAGGGACTTTACCAGTGGTAACTTCTGACTAGTAAAATGACCAGTGCGCACTGAATTTCTTTCCTGTGTTGTTAAATTTCCAAAAAATAAAATAACATGCAATGGGTTCAGAGTCCTAGATTTAAATTCCAGTGTGGCACTCTGTGACTTTGGCACTCCAGTTTAACCTCAGCGTTTGGGGGCACGTCTAGGGAAGCCCCACTGTGCGCCGGAGCTGAGGGTTCCTCTCCCCCCTCATCCCACGCCACTCCCTGTCAGTCCCCGTTTTCCCGTATCCCGCTCCACTCTCCGCCCTGCTGCAGACTCCTGCAACCCTGCACCTGAGCGTGGCCACCCTGAGCAGAATCCCCTGGCCGGCAAGCAGAAAGGACAATAGACCAGGACCCCTGCTACCTGCGGCCTCTTTCTAGCTGTGGGGTGGGGGCACGTTATTCACCCTCTTCGTGCATCAACGCCTCCATTTATAAACCAGGGACAGTACCACGACTGCAGCAGGAGTGTGGACGCGAGCTAACGAGTTCCAGTGGAGGAAACGCTGTGTCTGGAATGACCGCACCTCCCAAGGGGCCTTAAAGAATGTGGACTGGCCAGCAGGAGAGGGAAGGGCGCACCAGGCTGAGGAAAGAGAGTGATGTAAGAAAGGCCCGAAGACACGGGAAGCACACGGAACCCAGTGGCGGAAAACAGGGTGCGCGTGAGGGAAGCAGAGACTAGAGACTGAGCTGCGAGCAGAGGGTGGGGACTCACCGGGTCCCGCGTCCCCACCCCCGACTCCGCGCAGCCCCACAGGGTGAGGTCCACAAGCCTCGATGGGGAAAATGGGTCCTGGCCAAGTTCTCCGCGTGTGCCAGCCCAGTGCACCCCTCGAGCGTCTGGAATGCTTCAGAACTCGGGGAACACCACTTGCCGTCACTTGCTCCACACCTACCAGTCCTTCCAGCACTGATCTCCCCTGTGTGCCCCCTCCCAAGCCACCCCCAGCTGCCCCAAAGAACTTCCATCACCCCAAACCAGGCAACTACCTGTCTGCCCTTTTTAGACCACGCCAAGAGGCTCAGCAGAAGAGCCGGTGTGCGTCTATTTCCACAGCACGGACTCGATGCTCGGTGGATGGCGAGGTCGGTCGAGGACACGCAGGGGCATTGAGCTGCATCCTCCGGGGCTAGGCCTGGCCCCACCTGTGGCAGAACCTGCCAGTCGTTCTGGATATTCACGCTCCCCTCCTTCCGGAGCAGCAGAAGCCCCAAGTCTTACTGGCGCACACAGCTGCCCAGGTAAAGACCACACCTCCCAGGCTCCCTGGGAGCCAGGTGCTGCACGTGACTAAGTTACAGCCCACAGGCTGAGAGCAGGAGTGCCACACGCAGCTTCCCAGCTGTGCCCTCAGAGGGAATGCGCTTGCCCTCCTCACCCCATCACCAGCTGGAACACAGTGTGCTGGGGGGCATGGCGCATCCGTCCCGGACCACGAGATGGAGGCCATCAACTGAGGACGGCAGAGCTGCCGCCATGAGGAACCTTGGCCACCCGCACCCAGGAGCCGCCGCCAGGCCCTGGCTTGCTGCTGCTGCTGATCAGTTATTCCACGAGACAGGAACATTAGCTTCCCCTCCCTCGTTCTCGCCCAAGTTACTGTTACTCCGACCTTTCTTTGTTCCAGTGGCCAAACTGGCATCCTAAGTAGACCTCCCACACACGAAACAGGCTCCAGGCCGGGAACCACCGGCTGAGAACACCTTCCCGGCACCCACCCCCGCGCTCACGGGTTTCCCCCGCAGACTCCACACAACCGGGCTGGGGCCGGGGCTGGGGCCGGGGCCGGGGCCGGGGCCGGGGCGGCCAGAGCCCCCTGACTCCTCGCCTCTCCCGCCCGCTGGCTTCACATCAGGCTCGCACACAGGCCTCTAGCAGCGCAGGGCAGCCTAGTTGAAGGAGTGTGAAACCCACTACCGTCGCATTACGTGGGGTTTACATCCTTTTACTATTTATTTTCTAAGTCCTCTCTGAGGACATGTTTTTTTATTGGTTTTAGAGAAAGAGGAAGTGAGAGGAGAACATTGATGTGAGAGAGAAACATCGACTGGTTGCCTCCCGCACACGCCCCGACCAGGGATTGAACCCGCAACCTAGGTATGTGCCCTGACCAGGATTCGAACCTGCAAACTGTTGGTGTACAGGGTGATGCTCCAACCAATTTAGCCACCTGGCCAGGGTGGGATTGACATCCTTTTAGTTAAATGACCTCCTGACCCTGGGGAGATGCACCAGAGTCCGGCTGCCCAGGTGTGGAGGGAGCTGAGAGCTGTCAGGACAACCGGGAGGGCTCTGGGGAAGCCTCAGTCGGGAGGAGGAGGCTTTCCCCCAAATTAGGAGACACAGTCCCTTTCCTCATGGAGGGTCCAGTCCTCCAGGACCAACGAACACATGTGGCTCTAATGACGGCGCATGTAGCCCTGGGTGGGTGCAGGAGGAGGCGAGGCCTCTGCCGAGAACACGACAGGTGCGTGTTTGCAAGGTGGAAGGTGTGGGGGAGAAGCATTCCAGCAGGAAGGAACAGAACATGCAAAGGTCTGGCACAGCCTGGTGGTTTGGGGGAGCTCCTGAGGGGTTTGTTGTAGCTGGACCACGAGGGCGGGGAAAGGAAGGGGGGATGGTGGTGGGAGTTCCCTGCCAGGTGGGCAAGGACCAGCTCCTCGTTTCCGGAAGGAGCCACACACTCTGGGCCAAGAGCTTACAACCTAATTTAAAATTCAGCATGGTGCCTACAAAA